CTGTGCCTGAAACTGCCAGTGCGACAGAGACTCAATCTGAGTGGAAATTTGTAATGTCTAAATTCCCTGAGGTGGGCAAAAGACAAATATAAATAATATGTTTATTTGAAACCGTATGTAATTTCTGGCAAAGATGCCTTAAGCTGGGATAGAGTTAAAAGATGATAGATAAATGTTTGATGTTAGAAGTATATGAGAGAGCAGTGTACCATCCAATAGAGTCTCAGAGTCTCTCTCATTCAATGAGTCAGCTAAAAGCTGGTATCTGTGATAATGTGTAAAGCACAGTGTTTCAGTTGAAGGATCATAGACACAGAGATGTTTTAAAAATAAAACTGAATGACTTTAAAGAAGTATTTAAAATAATAATACAGATAGAGATGACATTTTGATTAGGTTAATTTAGGACCAGTAACTTCTTTGTCTGATCTTAGTCCCCACCATGAAACGGGGGAGGGGCCGACGGAAATGTACACTGAATGTACGGTTGTGATCTGAATTCACTGAGTATAATCCAAGTAGCTAGGTTGCTGCTTTTAAGATAGTTAATGGATTTAAGTGATTAAATACTGTTGTTATTGACCTGTCTCCCTATGTGAACACTATTAGGCAATTCGAATGGCTCTGGTGACTCTTGAACGTGCCTTTCCTAAGCTCTAGAAAACAGCTGAGTTCTGTTGAAGCAAACAGCCTGTGATGGGAAAGAGCGGTCACCAGTGGGCACGAGTGGCCATCTCGATGACGGGTAAGACCTTCTATTGGCCAGACAGGGGGCAACCCAAGCCAGAGTGGATCACGTAAAGTCACTGGGCATCTCAAGATGGAGGTGTTTATGTGAGAAAGGTATGAGAGTGGAGCGGATGACTGTGAGGCCAGCAGCATCCTTTATCGTTAGGGCGGATGAGCTGTGAGGAGTTACAGACAGTCTGACCCAGAAACGTGAGTGTTCCTCTAATACCAATCACCAGAAACCGCATTCATTGTATGGCTTGTTTTTTTTTTTATCGTCTGCAAATATGCCAGGGGAAAACACCCTGATGGAGATTATAGATAAAGGGCTAACAGGAGTGGGCTTTCAAGAGCCAGCTGAGGCCATGAAGTGATTCCCATTAGTTGTTGTGGAGACAGTAGCAAAACTTTTTATGTACTGGTTTGCCTTATGGGCAAGGAAAATCATAGTGTTGATTTTGAACTAATAGGTCTATGACATAGTTTTAACTCCTGAAGGTCGTTAGACATGGTGGTGGCTAAAGATGAAGACAGCTTTTGTAGATTTGAGAAAAGTCTGGATAACAAGGTGAATGGTCAAAGGTTATTGTAATTAATTTAATATTACATTATGTCTAAGTTACAGCCTTAGAAGGCTGTTGAAAAAGATTATTTATTTATAGTGAGAGAGACTGCTTGAGCAGAGGAAGGGATGGTAACTGTGTCTGTCTTTCCATTATTGGCCTGCTAGAGCAAGCTGAAGCAAAATAATGATAATGAAACAAAACAACCCAGCTGACCTTGTTAAATTCTAATGAATAATGAACAAGACATGCTTTGAAACTGGTTGGGAGACCATGTAAAATTAGGTAGAAGCTACCGGAAAATGGGAAGTTTAAAATCTTATTTAAAATTTAAATCTTTTAGCAATAATATAAAGAAAAATGAACATTGAAAATGAACAGTTAACATATGTGTGTCTAGTATGAGTGCGTGTGATGGTGACAGCACTTTATGTCTTGTATGTATTAGTTTGGGGTACTATTATTTCCTGATTTTGAGGATATTGTGTCATTAACCTCTGGAATTAGTGTTTTATCATTACAGATGGGTTAAGTGAAATGACCCACTTTAAAAAAAAAAGTTGATAAGTCTAAGACAATCTGATGAAAAGACAATGCAGAACATGGGACGAGCTTTAATTGGAGTGGTTTTCCAGCTCTGTCTGCTATTGGTAATTATGAATGCTTTTGTCATTTATGATATTGAACTGAATTACTCACTGGATTAGTATTTTATATAAATTGGAATTGTAAAGAAGATTGCCGTCCATTATGGGGTAAAACTCTTGTCTAAATTCAACTGAGGGTCTAAATTTAAATAGACAACTATAGGTGGGATCATAAGGATAAACGTAGGAAAAAATATATATATATATATAGACTTGACGGCAGAGAGACAAAGTGGCACATTGGCTAAGTCACTATCCAAATTATCCAGAGTGAGCTCCCTCATTTTTATTGAAAGGCCGGAGGGCGAACAAAGAAGGAGTGAATATAACTTCTAAAAAGAAAAGGTTTTATTTCTCAATCCCTTAAATGTATGTATGACATTTGATGTCTAAGAAGACAACAATTTAATAAAGGTAAAAAGAGAAAGCAGCTATATGGCTGTGGGCTGGGATCTGAGTAACATAATATTTTGGTTTCTGTAAAACTGTAAAGATAAGCAGAACTGAGACAAATACTGTGAGAAGTAGTTATAATGAAAAATAAAGTTGAAGTTAATGATAAGAAAACAAGAGTATTGAAGAATTAATAAAATACCATGATTCCCCTAACGAGGGAACTTTAAGTGTCACTAGGCTGACAGTGGTGAGAGACTCGGATGCAGAAGGAACTGGCATGTAGGGCATGATGGAAGAAATATAGTAGAAGAAAATGTATGTAATGAAAATACAATTTCTGATAGGGTTTATGGAAGTCAAATTAAGTTTAAATGGTATGAAAAAGGTTAGGGTTAGACATTGTATGATTGACAGGGATTCAAGTGATATAAGGATAAGGAATGAACAAAAGCTTTATTAAGCAAAATGGGGAACGATCCTATATTTTAGTGGTAAAATAATGACTGAAATGATGATGTGAATTTGTTTTATTTTATTTCTATTTTTGAAACAAACAAAAAAGGGTATAAGATGTTATACAATTAAAATGGTACATGCTATGTGACCGTAAACTGAAGGATGATTTCAGTAAAGACTTAAAGTGTTTACATCGATTATTATGGGCCTTAATTATTAATATTCTATTGTTTGTTGTTTATTTTTAGTTAGACAACCATTGTGTTTTAAACCTAAAGGGTCTATAAAAGGGGTAGTGAAAATAATGGATTAACCATCCAACTTTGTTTATAAAAGGATTTGGAAATCATAATTTTATAAATAAAAAAAACTAGTGCATATATTCTGGTATTCGTGATTATAGACAATGTCTTTATTTAGGATCTGAGTAGTGACTGTGGATCTAGCCCATGCTAGGAATACAGCAATAGTGCTTGCTTATTTAGCCTGGCTTCCAGAGAATAAATATGTACTTGTTTCGTAATCAGTTATGTGTTTTATAAAAATTTTAACCTGACTGATAAACTGAGGAAGAATGACATTGATGTCCTGTTGTGAGTGGAAGGTGGGAGAGCCTCTTAATGGGGACTGGAATTTTTAGTATCCAGCATGTCCATGACGAGGTGAAGAGACAAGTGTGACCCGTCAGGGGAGCATGCGTCACCACTCCTCCCTTCCGTAGTGACCTCACTGGTTAGACCAGACGTGGCGGTATTGGACCCCACATTGGTCTAAAACGGGGGACTGAAGGGTTGGTCAAAATCCCTTGCCTCTTCAAATACATATATAATCATATATCATTTTGAATGGTTATATACTTCCTTTATAAAAATCAATAATCAAATATATTCATTATCACATAATAATTTTTATATTCTTGTGCTTGTGAAATTATATTTTCTTAAATGCATGGATGCAAGTAACCAGTTTCTTTTAGGTGCATTCCAATCTTACTTTGAGATTGCACGTAGTACACGCAGGACACGAAGGCCACGTAACCCACAAGGCCGTTTGTCTCTTTCTCTGGGATCAGTAGAAAGGTTAGAGGGTCCTAAAGGCAGCGTGGGCACATATGATTCTTCGCTGGACATATGGTCAAGCTATATTGAGCGTTACTATCAAACTTGAATTGTTGTATTAAAATGTATTCTTTCCAGTGTATTTCCTTCCTTGGGAGTAAATGTCAGTTATCTGTTTTTCTCCCAAACGAGTGAATGTTTTAGCATTATGTTTTGGTATACTTAACTGATAATAAGGAGCTCAGACTCTCTTCAGCCTTGATGGGAGCTGTTATTTGCTAGTGTCTGTTATTTGTGTGTGTGTGCGTATGACATTCTATGTAGGTTCTGGACGGTCGGACCAGACACCCCGGCGCCCTTCTCTAACCTGCGAGGCCACCACAGACCTAAATCCAATGAGTGGACGACAACTATCTTGACTAATGGCGATAGGCACCCCTATCTCCTCACATGTGTTAAATTGTTTAGGCTCTTAATGTTTCTTAGCCAATGAGAATCATTCAACCTGTAAGCAATGACGTAGCTTAGACCTTGGAAATGGTATAACTGCTGGGATCTTTGTAACTGTAAGCGGGGCGGCCTACGAACTCCTGTGTGAGTCTTGAAGCTGACTTCTGCTGATGAAAATGCAAACTATCTTCAGTAAAACTTTTCTTTAATTTTTTATAATTCTGACTCCGGGTCTTCATTCTTCATATCTGGTTCTGGGTCTTTGACTGTATACCCCTTACAATGTGAATGAATGGTAGGCCTACTCCACATCACATCATCATCATCACTATTGTACACCCCAATACATGTAACGTGATTCGAAATTGAATGCTAATTCAGAAGACGTGCTGTAAAATATTGCATTGTGATAGGTCATTTCGCCTCCACGTCAGAGAAGTTTCTCTTCTTTGCCGTCTTCCGTGTGTCCATGGCGTAAAATGAGGGCGTGGGGGAAGCGGAGACTTGAATATATAGGGGCGTGCTATTCTAATGACGATCGTTTTCAGCCGCGGGATTTATCAAGGGCAGGTATTGCGTACACCTGGATTTCAAAAGTACGCACAGCTTCATAAAATCAGGCGGTGAGAGGAGTGTAAGCATAATCTTACGCCAACATATACGCCCGTTTCTACGCAAGAATGATAAATGAGGGCCAATGTGTTTGACCGCCATAAGAGTCTCTTCATCTCTCACAAATGGTCGGTCCATCTAACAGTTCACCTCATACATCTCAGTACTGTCTTTGAGTCTCTGATTATGGGGGAATGAACACTTCATGCTTTTGAATCCAAAAAGTAGTGCGGTCCCTCCCACCACCTGTACCCAAGCTCCCACCCAGCCGAAGTAGAGCGACCCGGCCGGGTGTAGCGTTAGCCGGGGTGGCTTGTGTACGTTGAGTCGTTGCGTCTCCGATACCGTTGAATCCACCTCGATCCCCAGCTTCGAAAGATGCCGAGTATACACTCCTAACGCAGCCAAACTGAGCACGCCTGCCAGCACAACCAACAGGCCACCGGCTGCCGCTACACTCCTGAGCGGGATATCGGTCCAGCAGCGGACCCCCACGCTGGCGAGCACGATCCCCGCACCACACAGGAAGAGAGACGACAGCACCATCCCCTGGACCATTCGAACCCGAGCATCCCGCTGGTAGGACCCCGACACGGGCCAGCACTCTTTGACCTCCGAGTGCACTACCTGCAGGCAGCTCTCCCATAGGCCGTCTGAGCGGAGTAGGAGGAGCTCCGTTGCTCCGCCCCGCCCTGCCGCACCAAGCCGGGCATGACCCTCCCTCCACTGCGGGGTGATCGCTGCAGTGAACATCAGCACAAGGCCCAAGGGTGCGAACACCACTCCCATCAGCATGGACGCTGGAGTTTGCATCGTGTCTTTGTTGATGTTCATTTCTTCAGGACGATGCTAAGTGTGAAACCACCGGCAAAGACCTGGTGAAAAGAATCACATTTCAATTACACTTATTCTACTCGCAGATTCTAGAAGATGCTTTCATTTAAATCCGATGCCCATTGGCAGAAATACACTCCTGGTTTTGCCGTCTGTTAGATCTAAAAGAGAAAGAGTGCGTATTTGCACGTCTTGTTAGCCCGTTGACTCTCCTTTGAGCTCTAAGAAACATCGTCACTACTGGCAACCAGCACAGTGGAGGTGAATGGTCTGCTGTTGCTAAGAGACAGTAACCTGGACGATCCTACGGTATATCAGAAACAGTTCTGTACACAGCCACAGGTGCTAGTGTCTTCTGACGTAAATGTGTGGTTGTGTTGTCATCGATGTTGATATTGTGAACTGGACATATTTTGAAACAGTCTTACAGACATATAAGACAGGAAGCCAGACATCTGGGACCTGAGAGAGCATGCTGATGTCTGTTCCACACACACATTCATAGAAGACAAGGACAAAAGGGAACCTGCAATTGACTTGATGTTATTTTTAATACATGAACCTGTAGACACCCAATATTGTTTGACAACAGCGGTGTATTTTCATCATCTAATCGGTTGTTAACCGACGTCTTGACAATATCACCCTCAAAGGTGTCTGCGGAAGGGGTGTGGATGTACGTTTCAACAGTTTGGTCAATCACTTCATGTGCTTAGAGTACAGTACTATCTATCATCACATTAATTTGATTGTTTCAGTCACCTTTGTTGCATGGCAACCCAAAAACAAACATTTAAAATGGTGCACTGGCACCCATACGTTAATGAAATAACAACAGAATCTGCCCCACCAACAAAATGAGGCTACTCACATTGTGAAAGTACCTGCCACCTTTGACGCCTGTCTTCAAACCGCACTACTTATTAAATATCTGGAAAAACAACATGACATTGTGATCAGAGACACAGTAGTCGAGCTTTGTTTTTTCTGGAGAAAAAAATTGTAAACTCATTCCATCATGACAAGGATCAACAGGATGAGGCTTTTGCAAACGACTCACAGCAGACACTATAAATAGAAAGCAAAGATGCAAGATAAGTGCATTGACCTTATATCCTTACCTGATTTTGCGTTTGCCGGAGATGTTACGGTCATCTGCTTCTCTATTGGAGTCACAAATAGCAGAGATGTCATCCACTTACCTCTCTGGAGAAGAATGAATGATCATTCAGCTGCTCTTTTTGTCAATTCTGAGATGAATCCTTCTGCTTTCTGTCATTTCTCTCCCTCACTCTCAGATTCTCTCTAGTTTTGTATATGAGGCTTTCCATACACCCCCATCCTTCTTTCAAACACACACACACACACACACACAAAACAGAACAGAAAAAACAGCAAGTCTGACGTGTGCTGACTGCAAAATGCAGACTGCCTGTTAAACCAGATGATCTGATGAAAGAAAAAGAGATATGGAAATATGGATAGAAAACAAATATTAATTTAAAATCCGGTCTCTTATCACATCTGTTAATAATTCATCTTACCACAAGGGTCTAATTTTACCTTTGCACTTTACTCCTCAAATCTAAAAACATTGTGTCCAAAATTCCCTCATTAAAAAATAGACACAAAAACATTTGATATACAGCATAATACAATGTCACAGATCACTGTTTTCCAAAAACACAAAATAAGCCATAGCCATATCATTAAATGTATTGGGATTTTGTGCAGTCTATCACAAAAAAAAAAAAAAAAAAAATGGACAATGGACAATGGACAATGGACATATTATCCCATCTTACCCTACATAAAAACATAGAATATTGACTAGACCTATATTTGCTTTCTTAGGTCTGTGTAAGACGCATTGCATAGAACTTGCAGATCGGTGAGTCATGCTACCTTGCTATCGGAATTATCATAAATACGAGTTTCCTAGTAAAAAATTGGACATAACACCCTCTCAAATGCAAGTCGTGGGAAGCTCAAAGGTCATTTTGATACCCAAGTTCCCGAGTTGGGCGGGCCATGGTAAACTTTAAACATGGCGGAGGGGAGAGGCTGCTGTGACTGGTTTTCTTTACTAGTTTCCACAACAGCTACATCGCCTTGTCGTATATGAGAAGCCTAATCATCTGAAGCGTATTGTAGGCTATGTTTCATACACAGTGAAAATAGCCTGTATTTGACCGAAATTCTTGAATTGTCAGCAAGTTAACTCGATAGCACAGTGAATTTTAATATGTTAATAATGGGACGCTAAATATAATTTTGGCTTTAATAAGATTTCCCAGTAGGCTAAATATGCAATAATAATAATGGTGTCCTCCATGATTCCTGTTCCGACAATAAGGACTTAAATGAGAACTTAAATGCACTGAGTTCATAATGACAACTTCAGAAGTAGGAAGTAATATTTCTGGTGTCATTTGCGTTATTTTTAGCTCTACATCAGCGTGTTATGCTGCTAAATATTGCAAACTGGTAGGCCTATTATATTTATATAGGCTATATATTATTTGATATATTTTACCAGCTAATAAATCGGAAGTCTCGCACATTCACAGAAAACATCTTCCGTGTTGAAAAATAACGTGAAGGCAATAGCTCGGGCCCGTTTCAATAAGGAGGTTCAACCAACTCTGAGTTAAAACTTGAACTCTGAGTTGACTTACCCTGAGATGGGAAACTCTGAGTTGTCTGTTACAGAACAGCTGAAATGAGTTAGTTCAATCAACTCTAAGTTGACTGAGTCTGAGTGTGATTGTAACAGCGCGCGCCTCCGCATCCCCTAGACACCATTTACTACACACAATTTAATAAATAATAATGAATATTATTTACAATATTATTGTTTTTTTTTCTCTGGTTTTGAAAACTCTTTGCGATCGACTTAAAATGCTTCCAAGATCGACTTGTCGACCGCGATCGACGGGTTGGTGACTCCTGTAACGTGACTGTTTTACGGTCAATAGTACTAATCAGCTGATTGACAAAGCCATAACACAGCGAGGGAGAAGAACTAAGTTACATGAAACAATCCAACTACATATTTTACACCACTGACAAGGGAAAAGTCACTACTCACGGTGTCTATGGCTAGCTTTAAGCTTTCTGCGGCTTCTCTTTCAAGGTATGAACGAAACGCGCTCTGTAGCGCTGTTTGTTCGCTGTCGGCTATAAGGTAGAAACATGACGTCACAATATGTCGACCTTCATAGAAGGGGGTGCCCGCGGTTATATAGATATAAATGTCTCATTCTAAGGTAATAAAAACATAACGGTTCATTGAGTAAGGTCTTTATACACCACTGAACACATAGTTATGGATTTTATATTGCATTTCTGTCAATAGATCCTCAGAAATATTACACATTGCACCTTTAAGCGCGTGCACCACAACTATAAAAAGCCATTATCAATGGAGCGCAGATATTGTGAGTCACCATGGCAACAGCGCCAGACAAAAAGAGGTCTGCATATTTCTCACCAGCAGAACTGTTTTAGCTTGGGAGAAAATAGTTGCTCGAGTCAATGCTTAAGTTTACATTTGAATTACTGTTATACAGTGTTGGGTGTAATTAATTACCAAGTAATCTAAATACAGTAATTCAATTAAAGGGATTACTCTAAATTCTTCTGTAATTTAAAGTAAAATATGATGTAATTGCATTAAATACTGCATAGACTATATAACAATTCTGGTTAAAACAATAGTGGATTTAACATACATATATTTTTAATGTTACCTTCTCTCTCTACACACTTTGGTCAATTCAAGAATAATTCATGCAATTGTATATTGTTAATTTGAAAGCATTGAAGTGCAGTTTCTAGTGTCTCCTTGTATTGTTCAAGTGGTTGAGGTTGATATGGGATTTAGTAATTACCGGTAGTAATAAGTAGACCAATACATTCTAGAGATAGAAATTATTACATTAATCTAATTACACTGTTGAAGATGTAATTGCTAGCTAGTAATTAATAACTATTTTAGAGTAACTTACCCAACTGTTATAATATTAGAGGTGAAACTGGAAGAACAGTAGCCTATGCTATTCAACCTAATTTTAATTTTCATGTAGGTGCAATCCTGCAGGCATTAAAAGCAGCTGAAAATGAATTATAAAAACATAATTCAATCAGGTAAGGCTTGAGCATATCATGGGTGTGGGCTACCTGACTTTACAAACATTTGACATATTAAATAACTAAATAGCATCCAGCATATAGCAGTGCAGCAGCATTTTTGACATAGGTCTAATTCTGTTTTCACACAATTAAATGTTCATTCTCATTTGACTACTACTCAGCCAACAGACAGAAGGCAGAGGCTCGCAAAACGGGGGGAGGACCAGCACCACCTCCACAAATGCAGAGAAGATGGAGATGGAGATGGAGATGGAGATGGCCCTGAGCCTGAATGCTGGAAGGCCAATGGCTGAGGGAATTCCTGGAGGGACTTCATCAGAGCCAGTCACTCCCCAGGATTCAAGGGCCTTCATAAAATTTAAGAGGTCTACATATGTGTTATTCTTTATATAGGCTATTTTTGATATTTCCATTTATTTTATTTTACTTTACTTTGGGTTGGGTTTTTTGTTGGTCCCAACATATTCTGATGGTAATATCTGTCTTTTGGAGCCTCATGTCCCAACAGAACCCCAGGCAGTTGTACGTACTCAATACACCAAAAATTATGACAAATAGTATTATAAAGTTTACTCAATCAAATTTTAATCTTCACAGGACGATGGGGATGAAGAAACAGTTTTTCTGTAAATGCCACAGTTTAATTCTTTAGAATTTGTTTAGAATTACATGATGTAACTCTTATCTAATGTATTTTCAGTTGCCAGTTAAGAAGTTATTTAGACTTCATCTTATTAAAAAAATAGAAAAAAACAGCAGTAAAAACAGCAATGAATAAATGTACCGAAAGAATGGATGAGGTGTTTAAACACCGCTTCCTCTTTAAAAAAGGGGAGGAGACCGAAATAAACTCTAGGTTTACTGAAGAAAACCTCCTCCCGACCAGGTAAGGTTCACAGAGTTAGCTAACATGGTAACTGACTCTGAGTATAAGTTACCTCTCTTTCAGAAACGGGCTTGACTTACTCTGCTTTCTCAGGTTCGACATACCTCCCATTCTGAAACGGAAAACGTACTTGGTTACTAACGTAACCTTAGTTTTTCATCGCCGAAGGGAATCAGAGCGTGTTGCAGGCACGGCAAAGATACGCAGTACTCGTTCCCTCTTCTAGAGAGAACCGAGGTTACGTTAGTAACCGAGTACATTCTCTTACGAGAGGTTCTCTCGTACTGCGTAATATCTTACGCTAGGGGAACACAGTGTAAAATGCCGTGCGTGCTGGGATCCAACACCAAAGTCCCAAGGGCAGGTGCCCGGGGCTCATATAATGCATAATCGCCAGGGACTCACAAATAGTCTGAGAAGAGAGGCTAGAACCGTCATTCCCAATAAGTTAGCGTCCTAAGGGAGCTAATCACATCAACAGTGTTCCACACAGTCAGGGTGAAAATGTTCGGCCTGAACTGGGTAACGGTATGGGTCTTACTTTTGCCCATGGAGTTATTTTATCGATCAGCGAGCGGTGCTCAAGCGGTTGTAGTATTCTGAGCCGAAGCAACGGGGCAGACAATACTGATTTTTAGACCGAAAGTAGTTTAGCCTGTAAGGCGGGAACCTCAAGGTTATGAAAACCTTTTATTTTTTTATTTTTTTTATTTTTTTTTATTGGTTTTTGTTTGAACATCAACACAACAAAATAAACCAATTAATGAGTAAAAAAAAAAAGTAAAAAAACAATTAAAAATTAAGATAATTAGATCCACATTACAGGACATCCAGAACAACACTAAACCATAAAGTAAAATAAAATAAAATACATAAAATACACCTTTTGATATGACAGCACACAGCCTGACATTTTGTAGTTTAATTCTACTATTTTACCAGAGCCATTATTTATTTTGCTGGATTACAAGAGCTGAGTTAAATATTGGACTTGACCAAAGAAGAGTTAGGTAATTCAATCATCCCATATTGTCTGGTCAACTTGGTTGCAATAATGTAAGAAGGGTGCCCAAATTTGATCAAAGTCTTTTAGTTTCCCTTTAACAACATAAGTAAGTTTTTCCAAGGCAAGGTTGCTGGTCATTTCTTTAATCCACTGACCTGGGTTAGGTCCTTGGGTCTCCTTTCATTTTAAAGCAATAGTACGTTTGGCCTGAAGTAAACTAAAATCAATTAGTTTGCGCTTTCTTGCATTCACCTCAAGATTTACTGGGTATATATGAAACAGACAAAATTTGGGTGCAAGAGGGATAATTACTTCAGTTAGTTTACCGAT